GGCCCCTCAGATGGGCCCCGACATAAATTTTTTGTTCTTTTTATCGCTAAACTGATCAGAGACTCCCTCTGAAATCACTGTTTTGTACTTATCAAGAACTGTTGTATGTTTATCCCCAAAACAATTGTTTTGGATTCGCTTATTTACAAAAAATTTTGGGATCCCTCTGATGGGCTCTCAAAATAAATCTCTTGTACTTTTTAATCGCCATAGAATGATGGGGGGACCACCTATGAGGGATCCTAAGATTGTTATTTTGTATTTATCTAGTACCATTGTATGTCTGGTCCCCAAAATAATGGTTTTGTATTAGTTTATTTTCAGAAATTTTTAGGGCCCCACCATAAACGTTTTATACTTTTCTATCTTCATAGAATCATTGGAGACCCCCTCTGAGGTTTGAACCCCTCATTGTTGATCCCTGATTGTAATTTTGAATTCATCTATTACCGTTGTACGTTTGGTCCCCAAAATAATTGTTTTGTAAATTTATTATATATTTTAATCCCTCAACATATACATATATATTTTCCTAATAAGAGGGTCCCACTTCAGAATCTAGCAGAGGGCCCTTAATGGGGCTGCTGGATTTCAAAGTTTTTCCCTTTCACTATATTTCTCCTTACTATAAATTTTATATATAAATAAGTGAAAGTAAAAACTTATAAAGCAAAACATTTTTCTACAAAAAAAAAGATTAAAGATTATGATAAGTAAAATGCTAAATAAAATTTGTGTAACGTTAATTTTAAAAAAATAAGAAAAAAGTTATAAGTTATTTACCACTATGAGATATTGGCGGTTCAACATAAGTTTTACTTATTGTTCAATCTGCCTCTGAAAGTAAAAGAAGAATAATGCAACTTAAATAATAAAATGTTTTTATAAACATTAAAAAATATATATATATAATTAATAAAAATATAAATTACACTAATAATTAATAATGGTATAAAGTACACAAATAATTTATAATAATGTAAAATAAACTAATAATTAATAATAATAAACTAGTGATGAATATTGCTAGTTATATTGGGTTGTCCAGAAAATAATGCAGGATTTTAAGTTTTCTTTAAAATACCCTGTATGTAACTGTTTAGGTTTACTAGATTATTCATTTGTATGAATGTCAACACTTATTAATCCTCTTCCAAACGATAATGTTTGTTTACCTCTGTAGCATTTTGTTGCTTAAAAATAATTCAGTCTTTACTAAGATGTCAACGTGTGATTTTCCTATAATTTTGTTTTACAAGTTTAAATTTGGCCAAAATTGAGCACATACGGCCAGAAACTTCAATTAAGTCTGGACCGAGAGCAGCATTAATGAGTACACTGCTCAACGGTGGTTCAAAAAATTTCGGGAGGGAGACTTCAGCCTTGAATACAAAGAAGGTGTGGCAGGACTTCCTCTCTTGATGACGATGTTCTGCAGGCTTGAGTAGAAGAAAACCGCAGAACAACTGTTTGAGAACTTGTAGGGAAACTTAACCTTAGCAAATAGAATATCGATGACCATCTCAAGGCGATTGGAAAGGTAAAAAAGCTTGCAAGTAGGGTTCCACACACATTAAATGACAGTGTTATAAAGTTTGTGCTACACTTCTTTGTCGAAACAAAAATGATCCCTTTCTGTCCAAATTGTTACTTATGATGAAAAGTGGATACTTTACGATAACAGTAGACGTCCTGGAATGTGGCTCGACAAAGGAGATGCAGCAGAACATTTTCCAAAGCCCCAACTCATCAAAAAAAGGTGATGGTTACTATTTGGTTGGCTTCATTTAGTTTGATATACTACAGCTTCTTAAATCCTGGAGAAACCATCAATGCTGTATTGTAACCAACAATAATGCAATGTATCAGAAATTGGCAATAATGAAGCCATCTTTGGTCAATCGGAAGGGGACCATTTTGTTGCATGACAACGCCCGGCCACGTGTCTCATGTGTGACCTTACAAAAACTGTTGGAGCTTGAATATGAAACTCTGTCACATCCACCATACTCTCCGGACCTCTCGCCTACGAATTATCATGTTTTTAGATACCTGGACCACTACTTACATGACCATAAATTTAATGGACAAAGGGAATCAGAAAATGTGTTGGAGTTTATCAATTCTAAAGATGGAAAATTCTATTCAGAGGGAATGGAAAAGTTGCCAGTTGGCAGAAATGTATTGATAGTAGTGGGGACTATTTTAATTAAATAAAACAGTTGTAAATATTTATTTTTTATTTATAAACCAAAACCCTTCATTATTTTCCAGACATGCCAAAAAATATGATAATAGTTAGTAAATGTAGTCATTAATGGTGTTTATTAAGTTTGCTGACATTTCAATACAAGCATGTGGGCCATCATCAAGGCTAAAAATTAAAAAATATGAAATCACACCAGAACAATGAAAGTATATAAAAGAAGAAAAAAAGTGGGACAATCACCTGAGATAACGGTAATGTAAACACAACAGTAATACTAACATAACAATGCATAAAGAAAAAGTTGGGTAACAAAACTGCTATTTTGGACTGCCTAGAGTATAATGATAAACTATTTACACTACTTTTTGACCAAATCACTTATCCCACTACCAAATGTAACTCTACATCCTCCCTCACTACTCAATTCAATCAACACTTCAAAAACCTTGATATCAAACATATTATACCTTACCTAAATTCACAAATACAGCAATCTTCTTCATCCTATCATTTCAAATGCCAACTCTTCTCTCTTCCAAACTTGAATAATTCCCTTCTCCTTTTCCTAAAATCCCTTATTCAAAATAATCTCTATGACGTTAAAAATTCTTTTATTTTACTTGAACAATTAAAATATTTACAGATACCTAACAATTTCATCTTATCTTCCTTAGATGACAAAAGTCTTTTCACCAATATTCCTACTGACAGTGCTCTCTAAATTGTTGAAGAAAACTGGGCTACTTTAGAACCACTTCCCTCAACCAATTCTTGTTGGTTCACTCCCTCCACTCCATTCCACTCCCTTTACTCCCTCTCATTATGTTGTAACTCTGGTTGTCTTTGTTCACAAACTAAATATTTATATAAAACTTTCGGCTTAGCAGTTGAAATTTCTCCCATTCTTGGTATTGTCTTTAATTGTATTAGTATTGTATTCAACAAACTTCTTGACTCTATACTACCTCTTTACAATGACTACCTCTATACCCTTTCTTAATGACATTTTCTTGATTAAAAAATATGTAGATGATCTAATATTAATTCTCGACCCTAAAACGACTCCAAACATCCTTATCATTCATGACTGAAAATTAACAAAGTCAAAAAAATCATACACAGCAATTTGACTTTATCTGACTCTCCAATTTCATAATAACAACTAAAACCTTTTACATAACATCCTACAATCTAATGATTTCCTTGACCAACTCATCAAATCTTTAATTTTAGTTCCCCTTAAGTAAACTCTCCTCACAACCACAACAAACATCTGTGCAATACAGATCAATTTCATATAACCCTACTCTTTCTAATAAAATTAAAAAATTGTTTTCTTCCATTTTTCCTAATATAAGCCTAAATTAAAAAAAAATACCAGCAAACTTAAAACACTATACAGCAATCTTAAGATCCCTTATCACTCCTAAAACAATTTAATTTAGTTAACCGCATCCCAAGTTCCACTTCTGGTTGTAATAGTGTGACCAAAAATTATATAATTATCTATAAAAAAGTGTACCACAACATAATTATAGTATTTTTACCCGGAACCCATTTACTTCAAAATTATCGGAACATGCCATATTCTCTAACCACTCCTTTGACTTAGATAATCCTTCCATCATTGCTACCCATATCTAATCAGGAAAAATGTCTCCTCGTTAAAGCAATTATCAACCTAGAAAAACACAACGCTGTGAACCATAAAGTAGATAGAAAGACAACTTCACCAACTGTTTCAGTAATATCTTCGGCCTTTTAGAAGTACAATATTTAGTTCATATTTTCAATTTAAATCTATAGTTAATAATCATTCCTCATTATTCAGTCATCATTCCTCATTGAATTCAAATCAATGGTTACCCCACTCATATCACTCCTTACAAATCTTGTACCTCACCTTATCCCTCCTGTGAAAAATCCTTAAATGACTCCCATCAAACATACTTATTCTCCTTTGGAATGTGAATGGTGTTAGAAATCACATTGACGAACAGCTTTACTACTAGACAAGAACATTGACCTTGCCTTAATTACAGAAACTCGACTGACCAGAAAACAGCTTTTAAAAATTCCACAGTACATAACATACCATACTGACCATCCTAACGATAGAGCACATGGCGGTACTGCCGTCATCGTACACCAATCCCACTCTCATCACTTACTCCCATTACCTACTCAAGTATCCTACAATAAACCAACCGTTATTGTAATCAAGACCTTCTCCTTTCCGGTCACCCTTGCATCAGAATAATGCCCTCCTAACAGATCCATATCCAAAGTCCAGTTCAGTTCTCTCCTCAACCCCTTAGGTCAAATAGACTTAAATGCCAAGCATCAAGAATGAGGTTCAAGAATCACGAATTCTAGTGGCAGAAGATTGCTGTCTGCACTCAGAAACTCTTTTTTGCTCATAAAATGATCCACAAAATAATTTTGAGAAAAGTGAAAATAGTATAATTGATTACTTTGTATACAGTAGATAAATAAGGAGGTACTTAAGCAATGTAAAAGTAAAAAGATGCACTTAAATTGGTACAAACCATATTCATTAGATTGGAGACAACCAGATCCTTTGAAATATAAAGGAAAACCAATAGAAGATCAAAATTACTAAGCTATAGAATCCAGAAAAGAAGTGTGAGTATACACAACTTCTGGATGGAAAACTTGGAGCTATTAATATGAAAGATGAAGTTTACATTGTATGGGAAAATTTAAGTTTTATTAAAGCTGAATTAAGTTGTCTTAAATTAAGGATAAGTAATTATTACATTAGGAACACTTACCTCTTAGCTGCCCGTTTATCAAATATGGCAAATGTACTGTCAACCCACAGCTTATCAGCTCGTCTTTTGCTAGTACCTTTATACCAATCAGGGGCATAAAGCTTTGTCACTTCCTGGACGCTATTAGTATTTGTCCAGGCAAGACAATACTTCAGAGGAAGAGTAAGATTCTCCTGAAACGAAACATTGAATTAGGACAATAATTTGAGTTGAGATATGTATAAACTTTCAATCAAAATTCATTCTATTAAGGCACCAAATTGTAAATAATGCCATCTTCAACAAAGATTGTTCCAGTAAAAAAGGATGCTTTATGATAAAACAAATCGGTTGGCTATAATATTTATAGATAAACCACAATTTCGACTTGAAACAATTCTCAATGTCACTGATTTTACAGTCCCTCTATAGGAATTATACATCATATACATCCATATCACTTCACCTACATATTCATCAATCCATTAAGTACAACCCAAATTTATTATTAACACAATAACCTTAATGTTAGCCTCAGGCCTTCCAATCCAAGCCCAAAATCCCTAATCCTCAGCCTCAACCTCCTCGCCAGCAAATCCCTCCTCATCATTTACCCTTAAGAGTCAAACTCCCGCCAGAGCATCCACATCCAGCTCCATTCGTTCCTAATCCCAGGATGAACCCCCCTCCACAAGTCCAACAGAATTTAGATCCTCCTCCTCACCCCACGACGGGCCCATCCCCCACCCAACATTCCTAGTCGCATAACCTACCCATCACAACCTCCTGATCCAAACCCACTTCCCAGCCAAACACCATCCGACATCAACACTATCTTATCGTCATTCCTGATAGATCTTCAACAGACTATCAAACCGCTCATAACCCTTCTAACCAGACTCCTTTCCGAAATCCCGCTTAGCTTCCCTCGATGAACACAAAGTCCCTAGCTATTCTCTTATGGAACGCTAATGGACTGCAAAACCACCGTGACGAACTAGACATATTTCTCCATGACAATTATATTGACATTGCCTCCTAACAGAAACTCACTTCACCCAACGGACACATTTCTACATACGTGACTACATCACCTATAGATCTGACCACCCAGACAACACTGCCCACGCCGGTTCTTGCATCCTTATCCACAAATCTTTACCCCATTCCCTTATTCCTTCTATTCCAACAGATGCCATTCAGTCAACTTCTGTAATCCTCTCAACTCGTCCTTTCCATCTAACACTTTCAGCTGTATACTGTCCTCCTGGCAATTCCCTCTCGTACAGCCTACTTGAATCCTTATTACAATCCCTCGGATCGCGCTTTATTGCTGGAGGAGACTACAATGCTAAACACCAACGATGGGGTTGTCGATCATCCAACTCCCGTGGTAATACCCTTTCACAAGTTTCTTCTTCCAACAATTATTCCATCCTCTCGCCCATGAATCCTACTTATTTTCCAACATCCCTCAAAAAACGTCCCGATATCCTGGACATATTTATCACCTCCCAGATTTCCTCCTCCCAAACTATAATCAAATCCCTGGATGACCTTTCTTCAGACCATAGTCCAGTTCTGCTTTCACTACATTCTGACTTTGCTCCTAAACCATCACTTCCTAAACTGATCACTGGACGAGTAAACTGGGACAAATTTCGTGATGATTTGGAAAACAAACTAGACCTCAAAATCCCGCTAAAACAAAAGAAGACATTAATGGTGCCATAGAAAAACTGACATCATCAATAACAGACAGTATAAATAATAACACCTTTATCAATAAGATTAACTTCCCACAAAATACTAACTTGCCACAGCATATTCGTATCTTATTACAGGAAAAACGCAGAGCAAGATCGAAGTGGCATAGGACTAGATACCCAACAGATAAATCGCATTACACCCAACTGACTAACAAACTGAAATCAGAAATTAGAAAATACAAAATTCAAAATTTACTAAATTTTACTGAAAAACTTACAACCACTGACAAATCATTATGGATGACCACCAAAAAACTTCTTAAGTTTCAAGACTTTAATCACCCACTACTTACTGATTCCCAAACCTGGTCCAAATCCGACGAAGAAAAAGCCCAACTATTTGGTCAACATCTCTTCCAAACTTTTAACCCACATCCCGATATCCTTAATTCAACTCACATCAATTGTATTGAAGCAGAACTGGATATTCCTCTCCAAATGTCTCTGCCACCCAAAGCATTTCATCCCATAGAAATATCCAACATCATTCAAAAATTACCTTCCCGTAAAGCTCCTGGACATGACCTAATTACATCCCAGATCCTAAAACTTCTTCCTCGAAAAGCCATCCTATTCCTTACTTACATATATAATGCTGTACTCCGTTCTACATATTTTCCTGATCTTGGAAACGATCTATTGTTAAAATGATCCACAAACCCAAAAAACCACCAGAATACCCATCCTCTTACCGTCCTATCTCTCTTTTACCCATCATGGGCAAAATCCTAGAAAAACTCATCTTAAAACGCCTGTACCCTATCCTAAATTCTAAACACATAATCCCAGATCACCAATTTGGTTTCCGAACTTCCCATTCCACTATACAGCAATGTCATCGTGTGGTAGACGTAGTCCCTCTGCATTGGAGCGCGGAATGTACTGTACGGGAGTCTTTCTCGACGTTGAACAGGCGTTTGATAGAGTTTGGCACCCGGGACTGCTGTACAAACTCCGAAAATTCCTACCACCTACATACTTCCTCATTATCCGTTCCTACCTTACTGATAGATACTTTAAAGTAAATCACAATAACGCCTATTCATCCCTTTTTTCCCAGTCCGCTGGTGTTCCTCAAGGTAGTATCCTAGGTCCTATCCTCTATACAGTTTATACAGCTGACATCCCTACCTGTCCCAACACTGTCATCACCACATATGCCGATGACACATGTATCCTATCAGTAAACAATGACCCAGCAATTGCATCCCAAATGCTTCAATCACACATCATAAATCTAGAAGAATGGTGTCAAAACTGGAGAATTAAAATAAACTCCAATAAATCCCACCAAATTACCTTTACCCTTCGTCGTAAACCAACGACTTCCTGTCCTACAGTTTCCTTTAACAATACTCCACTTATCCCTGTTGAGCAAATCCGATACCTAGGACTCCACCTGGACAAACGACTAACTTGGAATCCTCATACTAGACTGAAACGACAAGAAACCGCTCGACGTTTCCGATTACTTCAGCACTTACTAGACAAACGCTCTAAACTTCCCATTAATTACAAAAGACTCATATACTTGACTATAATAAGACCTATTTGGACTTACGGAGTTGAGCTATGGGGCTCCACTAAACCATCGAATTCCTCTCGCATCCAATCCTTACAATCCAAAATCCTTCGTAAAATCCTCAATGCTCCTTACTTTGTCACTAATAAAATTATCCATAAAGATCTTAATGTTCCTTATGTTTCAGATCTGGCCCAATCCAGATACCTATCCTTCCATAATAAACTTCAGAATCATCCCAACCCTCTCGTTTCTAACCTTGCTTCCTCTTCAATTCCTGATAACCCTCCGAGGCGTCTGAAAAGAAGATGGCCCCGTGATCTCCTAATGTAGTCATATCATTAGAGTGCTACCATTGGGTAGTTACTCAGCAAGTGTATTCATGTCATTATATCAATTATGTCCAAATTTACTTGATGTATTTATGTAATACAGTTGTAAATGTCATAAAGAAATAAAAAAAAAAAAAACCTTAATGTACATAATTTGACATCCCCCCATTCAAAAGCAATAATGTTTCCTTTATTAAATTTTTACTTTAATCAATATACTTTGTTAACTTTATATCTTTTACATCCACATTGAACACCCCCTTCTGATCTATTTCAGCATTCCACCCTCCTCTCTGATAAGGGCAGGCCTAATGTGCTTTACATTTCACACTCATACAGTAAACAACTTTAGTTTACTGTTATTGTGGCCATTTTCATTCCTACCAGAGCATAATACACAACTAGGGAGCTTGGTACATTTGATGACTAGATACCCCTCTCCGCCACATTTGAGACAACACTTATCCCCATAAAACTTTTAAAGATGAACTGTGGTTTGGAGAGGAGTGCAGGGAAGCAAAAAAACATCTTAGGAAATGTTTAAAAATATTAAAGTGTGAAAGTTATTCACAGGAAAATATCAATGTTTTTATCGATAGTAAAAAACAATACGAACAATGTGTAATTACCAAAAAAAAAATATTTTGATTGCCTTTTAGACACATTATCAGGTGTTAAAGATAAAATGTTTTGGTAAACTATAAAACATTTTAATAGATCTAATATGGTTGAAGCTCCAGTTTCTAATGAACAATTTATCTGTTTTTATGTAGAATTTTATGCTGAAAAGAACTCTATTTCTGACTTAATATCCACCGATTCCTTTTTAGAATTAGATAATCCTATAACTTTGGACAAACTTCTGAAAGCAATTAAAAAAACTGAACATAAAAAGAAAAAAAAAGAATAAAAAAACTAAATTGAAAAAAGTATCTGGCATCGATCATTTGCCGTATGAAGTTTATAAACTTATGCCTCAGAATTGGGACCACTACCTCAACCTTTTTAACAACGTTTTTCAAAATACAATTGTTCCGGAAAAATGGAGAGAAAATCTGCTACTTCAATTATATAAAAAAGTAGATGTTAAAGAACCCGCCAATTACGGAAGAATAGAAATGATAAATTGTGTTGCGAAACTGTTTACAACTATTCTAGCTGGAAGAAATACTCAATGTGCGTAAAATCATCATGATTCCAGAAGAACAAAATGGTTTCAGGGTGGATAGTGGGTGTGTTGATAGTATTTTTACTTTTAATTCAGTAATAAATATCTCACTGAGCTACAAAGGCAATAACGTTTTTGCGACTTTTGTTGACTTTGATTCACTGGATTATACAAAATTGTGGCAAAAATGTCATAGTCTCGTATTGAGTTCTAAAATAATAAATATTTTACGAGAATTATACAAACAAGCTACTGTAATTTTAAAGGGTGAACTTAATACGAAATCAGATAAATCAGTCAAGGAGTATTACAGGGTCTTAGTCTTTAGTCCTCTAATATTTTCATTATTCATTTCAGATATAATGTTTCATTTTAGAAATGATGGATGTACTGGAATAAATAT